ATACAACATATTAACGCCAAACATTCGGTAGAATTTATAGAATATTGTAAAAATATAATATATATATGTGTGTGTGTGTGTGTGTGTGTGTGTGTGTGTGTGTGTGTGTGTGTGTGAAGCGATTCATATTTTTAAAGTTTGCATTGACAGAGAAGATGTAAAAAAGATAAAAGATCCCGAAATAATGCCTCAGCACGTCATCGTACGAGAGTGGCGATTTGACAAAAAAACTGAACAGACGGTACAATAAAAAATAAATGATGGATAAATTATCAGGTAATGAAAATATTGTTGAGAACAGCGATGAGGAAGACATTTCAGATGACATTAAAAATATATGCAAGAGTAAAATAATCAACAATAAATGTTATGATGATAATAAATCAGTAAACGACGATTATAACTTACCGTACAAGGATGAAGTTGATAAAGGTTTAATATTTAACATAATGCATGCAAATATCAGAAGTTTAGTTAACAAAACAGAAGATCTAACTGATTTATTGAACAGTTTTTCTTTTAAATTTAATTTAGTTGGGATAACTGAAAGCTGGCTGAATGAAGTTAGCAAATATCTCATCAATATCAGTGGATATGACTATGTTGGTAGAAATCGTACAGGTCGACACGGTGGTGGGGTGGGATTTTATGTAGATTGCAAATGTGTGTATAAAGTGAGAGACGACTTGAATAACCTGGGTAATGTGGACTTTGAGACATTTTCAATTGAAGTCTGCAATAAAAATTCTCACAACAAAAATAAAAATATGGTGATAATAGTATCTTATCGCCCTACACACAAATCTACTTGAACCAGCTTGAAAAAATTCTTCATGCAATTCTTCAGTAAATAATGAAAATAAATATATTTATTTTATGGGAGATTTCAACATTGATATCTCAAATTTAAAAAAAGATGTGAACAACAAACTTGCTCCATCTTATGACTTGTTATAATCTTGCACCATTAATCACTACACCAACCAGAAGTTGCATCAATAAAGGTCGGTCATTGATAGCAACAACAACAACACACGTTTAGACGACATTTTCCCCGAGATCGGGGGTTGCCGTTTGGCTACCTATGATGAAACCGAAATACCCCTCGACGCCATCCACATCTGTCACTCGCCTCAGTATCACGCAACCCCGCTTTCACCCTGTCCTTCTCCACCTGCTCTCTCCATCCCAATCGCGGACGACCTCTTCCTACCACTCCTTCAACCTCGAACTCCAACGCTCGCCTAATCCCGACCCTTTCATCCCTTCTCAACATGTCCATACCACCGCAATCTCGATCTCCTTATCAATGTCACAATGTCCTCATTCAGTCCCATCATTGACATCAGCTCTGTACTACTCCTCCTATCCTTCACTTTAACCCCACCACATCATCCTCACCATAGCTCTTTCAGCCCTCTGCAGTACACTTTCCTCCTCTCTCCTCAACACCCAAGTTTCACCACCATATACCATCGCTGCTCTCACACATGCTTTATATACCCTCCCTTTCATCTTCACTGACCATTTCTTTCTACACAATACCCCACCCAGTTCCCTAAATTTCATCCATCCCACACGAACTATAGCCGTAACTGCGCTCAAACATCCTCCATTCGCATTCAGCTTATCCCCTAAGTAAACAAAGCTTTCCACTCTTTCAATACCACCACTCAACCCCGTCCTTGCGTCCTTCCTATTAATCACACCATGAACACATTTCTTACATTTGAACGTGCCTTCCACCTTTTTCAGTGCCCCCCTCAAACCACTACATCTCTTATGCACCCATTTCTGACATCCTATACACAACACCGAGTTAGCCTTCACTCTCCTGTCACATACCCCACAGGGGTCTATTTTACTTATCACTCGCTCTCCACCTTCCCCACTCACCATTACCTTCGTCTTACCAATATTAACTTTTAACTCTTTCTTTTCAATAACACTTTTTCATCTGTCAAATTTTAACTGCAATTCTTCCATGCTATCAGCCATCAAGACTAAATCTTCTGCATACAAAATCTCAAATAACATTGATAGCATCTTCATAAATTTTTCTCAATTTGTGAAGCTAAGTGGAAGTTTGACATGCGATTTATCAGATCACCTACCAATATTAGCCTCATTTAGCATCAAGATAAAAAGAAACATCAGTTGTTCTCAGCCTGAAATAAAATTCTCATATTCAACTACCCGTTTAAAAAATTTGAATTGCTGTTTGCTAAACTGTGACTAGAATGAAGTGCTTGATTGCAATGATGTTGATGCAGCATTTGAAAAGTTTATACAGGATCTTTTCAGTCATGTCTTCTTAATTCCTGCTTAATATCTTCAGAAAAAAAGAAAAGAATGTTATCCAAACAAAAACCATGGATTACAAAAGATATTAAAAAGCTAATAAAAAATAAAAACAGGATGTTCAACGTCTATTTAATGAATCCATCTCAATTCAGATATGAAAAATTTAGAGAAGTGTGCAAGTTATGTAATACCTTGAAAAATAAATCAAAAAGACAGTACTACAACGAATTAGTTGAGCGTCATAAAAATGATATTAAAAAAACATGGTGCATCATAAATGAAGTAATAAATAAACGTGTAAATAGATTAAAAAATATTAAAATAACAATGAATGATGAAATAGTTGAAAATCCTAAAAATCAACTCAACCAAAACTTCATCGACACAGCAATCAACCTGTCCAAATCATTTCAACACAACAATAACTGGAAGTCATATCTACGCAACAAAATTTTAAACTCGTTTTTTTGTTTATATGCCTCCAAAAATGAGATCATTTCAACAACTCAGTCGTTAACCCCAAAGTCTTCAAGTAGTTGGGACAATATACCCGCAAATGTCGTAATTTCAACAATTCATTCCACAGTGATGGTTCTTGAGTATTTAACCTGTCATTTGCCACCGGAAAATTTCCCAAGTGCTTCAAACTATCAAAAATAAAACCTATTCAAAAGGTAAAAAATAACTATGATGTAACCAACTTTCGACCAGTGTCTCAATTGCCGGCGTTCTCAAAGATAATTGAAAAACTTATGCACTCAAGATTGACGGCCTTCCTACGAAAAAATAATATTCTGTCGAATCATCAGTATGGATTACGAGAAGGACACTCTACAGAGAGTTAATACGAAAAATTAGCTCAGCTGCAGAGGACAAAAATTTTAGTCGGAATATGTTTAGATTTATCAAAGGCGTTCGATTGCATTGACCACAACATTATGCTTGGAAAGTTAGAACACTATGGTGTAAGAGGAAAAACACTAGAATGGTTCAAAAGTTACCTAACAACAAAAGTTACCTAAGTTACAATTGAATTCCTTGGAGTGTATTTAGACCAGAAATTAACTTTCAAAGCGCATATTCAGCACATTTCCAACAAATTAGCTCAATCAATAGGCATAATTAATAAAATAAAATTCTACCTTCCAAAAAAAATGTTTGAATCTCTTTTATAATGCTATCTGCACACCTCACATAAATTATTGTAACGTTGTGTGGGCTGGCGCGTATCCTTCAACAACAAATTCAATTAAAATTCTGATAACGCTGTCTAAACAATTCACCCATACAAATCAATTATTCTTTTCCACAAATAATTTAAATTTGGATCAGTTTAGTAAATATTACACAGCCATTTTTGTCTTCAAGCAAATTTCCAAAAAGCTTCCTCCAACGTTTGACGAATATTTCAAAGTAGTCAACAACCCTAGACGTGTCAATCATCCTATATAACCAACAAGTCGCGAACCAATCTGTTGCATTCTCATGTTGTCTGTAGGAGACCAAGGATTTGGAATGACATTTTAAAAAATTATTTTTCTTACAATGGAACATCACTTACTATGTTCAAGAAGAATTTAAAACTGTTTTTGTTAAATTTTAACGACAGAGGAAATATGTAAAAAAAAGAGATGATGTTTTATTTAATTTTAATTTCTGGTTGACATATGTTAATTTGTGTACATTTGGGTTCAGGTGGCTGTGCTAGATGAGCTCTCTCTGAGTTTTATCATAGTCATCCTGGCTTCATTTTTTTTGGAGTGATAAAAGATAGTATCGTATCAATCGTATCGTATATATACAATTATTTATATTTATGATAGTCTAAACCCAATATATATATATATATATATATATATATATATATATATATATATATATATATATATATATATATATATGTGTGTTGTCAACGCCCTAA